GCTTTTGGGAATTTTAACCTTTTCCAATTCTTTTTCATTTTAAGAAAATTCTATCCTTTTTTTTTTTTTCAAAATATAATAAATCAATAAAAATAAAAATAAAGAAAAAATTTAAAATCTAAAAATTTAATCATAAAATATGAATTGAACCTCAGACTAAATAAGGTGTTTACATTTTAGAAGTTTAATAAGATCATACGTATAATTTTTTGCAATGACTCAATTTCTTCTTTTATTGCTTTCAACCACTACTTTCTATTTGGAATAGTCTGCATATCTCGGAAGCTCTCTGGTTCCTCATTTGGTAACTAAAATAAAATTTGAACTTGGATACCTGGTAGTTAATCGATGCTTTTTGGTAGATCTTCTAGGTTGAGATTCTACATTACCTGATATCGAAGGTAGCTCTTCTTACTTAACACTTTTTGGTAGAGAGGATTACTTACCTTGCTCGACACTCTTTGGGGGAAAATATTACTCCCTTGCTTAAAAATAATTGCATCTAGCTCATTTGTATGCCCAAATTCTATTTCTTGCTCATTTTCACCATTTGTGGCTCTAGGTGGAATCACTTTCAATATCGAATCATCACACTCAACAGTAACTCAAGTAGTTTTCTTATTATTTTGAAGGTCTGCTATAGTTTTTTTTTCATAAAAGACCACATCTTTGTTTTTAACTATCTTTTTCTTCATTGGATCCTATAGTCTGTAGTTAAATTTTTCATCACCAATTTGACAAACACATACTGTGGGACTTTATTATCAAACTTTGACCTTTGCTCTTTCGATACATATATGAATGGTTTACACTCGAAAACCTTTAAGTGAGAGTATAAAACATCTTTTCTTGTTCACACTCTTTTTTGGAATGCTAAAATCCAAAAAAACTAATGGTCATTTATTAATCAAATAACAGACTGTGTTGACTGCTTTACCTTAGAATAACTTTGGTAATTTTATCATCCTTAGCATATATCTGACTTTTTTAATAATTGTGCATTTTATCTTTTTGGTTACACCATTATGTTGCGATGTTTTAGATTTCGTCATCTTATGCCTGATCCCGTGCTTTAAATAGTATTCTTCAAATTTTTGGATGTGTGTTCTCCACCATTATCAATTTAAATATACTTCAAAAGCAACCTTGTCTTCTTTTCCATCATGACGTGAAAATTTTGAAAATACTACAGTACCTGACTTTTATTTTTTAACATATACACCTAAATCTTACTTGAAGTGTCATTAATAAAAATAACAAAATACTTGCTACCACTTAATGACTCAACCTTAATGGGATCACATACTTCAGAATGAATCAATGCTAATATGTTTTTCTTCCTCTAAGAACACTTATAAAAAAAAACTCTACGATACTTGCCATGCAAACAATGATCACATAAATCAAGATATATACTTTTGGTCAAAGAAATGAAAGACTACCTCACCAAAATTTGTAACCCGTTTTTGTTCATGTTTGCCAGTCCTTTATGCCATAAATTTGCTGAAACATTAACTTTTATGGTATTTATCTGGTTATTGTTCAATTGCATCCATATCTTGTACATTATGTAGCATAATTTTTCTTTTGTAACCATTATAGATCATTTAAGAAGCTTTCACTATCCATTCTTTTGTTGGCTCTTATGTCTTTCCTTATCAAAAAAATTAATTGCAAGTAAGTTCATTCTCATATCTGAACGTGTTTGACATCCTTCAAAGTTGACATGTAGCTAATACTAGTTTGCACAACAATATCACTAATCCTAATGATCTGCGACACTCTTATTTCTCATTTTAGTGCAACTAAAATTTTATGCTTTATAAGTTATAAACAACTTTCTTTTGGGAACATAATAATATGTCATTCCTATGTCAAATATTTATTCAATGCTTGGATCACCAACATAATTACAATCATCATGTATATAAATCAAAATAATTGAATATTATATGAATTTACCACTGTAAGACTACTATTATCTAAACTCTTACCTTTTTCATATTTTCTTTTTACTTTAAGATTTTACAATTCTACTTTATATGACCAGGTTTACATAATTGTAACATTTTACTTTATCTCTAGACTTGAATCTATGTCTAGACTAATTATGGCCTTTTGAGTTTTGATCTTAATCGATATTTATACCCTTATTCTCTGTGACAAAAGCTTAATTCCCATTGTCTAATTCTTTTTGCTAGGCTTCTTCATTAAACATAGAGTCCTTTACCATCTCTAATATCACTTTATAGTTAGAAGTTGAATTAAAAATAGTCATAATTAAAGAAGTAGCAACGTCTTCATTTCATCATCCATTTTAAGCTTTATATTTGTCATCCGATAAATATATCTTAAAAATCACTCAAGTGCTTTGTAATCAACCGTTCATCTTTATATTGTAAAGCTGTAAGTCTTTTAACAAGCATAACTTTATTCATTCATGTTTTCCTCTCATATAAGCTACTAATTTTTTTCAAATGGTGTAAACATCCATCTTCTACGCTAAATGATGAATATGCTAATATCAACTCATTTTCTAATTGTGGCTAGCGTCATTATACCTAGTTTTTTTTAGCTTTCATATTTTATATATGCTAATTTAGCTAGATCACTCAATACCTACTCATATAAATTTTTGTAGTATAAATGATCATTTATCAGTAGCTTTCAAATTAAATAATTTGATACTGTTAATTTTATCATGAAACCTGAATCATATTCCATAATCTCAAATTGAATTTATTTATGTTCTGGGTTGCTTCTATACTGATGTCTAAAAAATAATTATAACTCTGAAACCAATTGTTAGTCCTTAAGTGACAAACACAATAACACGAAAATAATATATCGCAACTAACCAATAGTAAACAAATAACAATCAATAATCAATAACACAAGAAAAATAAAACACACTAAAATTTACGTAAAAAATTTTCTAATGTAGAGAGAAAAACTATGAACCACTAAAAAAAATCTTTATTATCAAATAGTGGATACAAAAAATTCTCAAATAGTTAAAATTAAAACTAAATAACAATTAAAGAGATAATTGAAAATTTTTCACTAAATAGATGACTTAATAAATATACTCTAAATTCATTTTTAGAGAGTTTCAATTCTGATCTCCATCATTCAAAATATAAAACATTAAATCATAAATATATTAATAAAATTTAACTCAATTGAACCATAGTTAAAATTAAAATTAAATAACAATTAAAGAGATAATTGAAAAAAATTCACTAAATAGATGACTCAATAAATACACTGTAAATTCGTTTGTAGAGAGTTTCAACTCTGATCTCCATCATTCAAAATATAAAACATTAAATCATAAATATATTAATAAAATTTTAACTTAATTGAACCATAAACTAATATATGATCAACCTATTAATCAAACTAACAAGTTTTGTTTTCTGTTTTTTTCCTCCCTTGGCAACAACATTTTTTTTTTTACGGCTCACTCTTTTCACGCCAAAAAGTCCTACCTTTTATATAAAGCATAATTTTTTTTCGATTAAAAGAAGCCAAAAATTCGTGGGCCTCTTAAAACAATAATAAAAGGGGGTGGACAAAATTGGATAACTGGTTGATGGATGAAAACACATAACCGCTTGATGGACGATAAAGACAAGACATTGATTTGCCTATGTCTGGATAAGAAAATGAATGTAAATAATTACATAATTTCATCTCGTTATCTCTCCTCGTGTTTGTTGAAATTTCTAATCATGATGATAATCAGATTATGTTTGGACAACATTTTTTCCTAAAGATTGATTGAATATCTACTGCTTATCAGCTTTATGTCTATGTATTTATCGTTTTGGCATAAAATTCAGAAAAACTAATTTTCCAATGCGGTCCCGTCAATGGTTGATTATTGGATCTTTAAGAGAACAAATTCCTTACAACTCTTTCGGCATGGAATTCAAGTATATGGTATTGAAAAAGGGTATACTAACTACCATGAATAAGTCGAATGACTCAAAATTTCTCAAGTTCATGAATGATTTGTGTTGGTAGCAAGAGCTGCAACAAAAAAAAAAAAAAAACAAAAAACAGGAGAGGGAACAAAAATTGGAGTTTGAAATAGGGAACACAATCAAATTACTACTGATCAGTTTGTAGGTATAGAGAAAAAGAAGACTTCAACTATGGACTCACAGTCTAACAAAATTAATGTAACAGAAAATAGTGCACGCAGAAAAAGCATCGCTTACTTGTTCGAGCACTGTCTATACCTGAGCTTGTTGTGAACAGGGTAGTGCATGGTCGTATTTATGTTTGATGTTGTTGGTGCAATATAGCCATTTGCATGCGGTGCATAGATTATCTGGCAATACAGAAGCCATCCAGGCTCCGGTAAAGGCAGGCATGTGGCATATATCGATGGAAATGAGGTGAAATTCACAAGACGAAATTGAAGAATCTGGCATATAGCTGTCCCATTTTAGGCATTCTACAACATATCCAGATTGGCTTTGGGCTACCATTGCTAGGCTAGGGTGCTGACAAGGACCTTTTGCTTTTGTCATTTTGTCCAAACCTTTTAGACTTTGGACCCACCGTTACAGCAGACTATTCCTCCAATATTTCAAGGTAACTTTAATCAATAATTGATACTTATCCTGGGAGACAGGCACCTTTTTCTTTTGTCATTTTGTCCAAACCTTTTAGACTTTGGACCCACCGTTACAGCAGACTATTCCTCCAATATTTCAAGGTAACTTTAATCAATAATTGATACTTATCCTGGGAGAAAAAAAAAGCAATTTTGGAGAATAGGTAAAAAGAGCTTCATGTACATAAAATTAAGAGTTTAATTCATTTTATTTATGTAATTTATTTTAAAAATTAATATTTAATAATTTTAAATTTTAATATTTGTAATTTTTATTATATTTTCATACTATGATTTTAAAAAAAAGTACATGTAGATAGATGTTGCTTTCATCCAATTATTTCGATACAAATACATTTTCGGATGGTCTCATTATATAATTATTTCCCATATACACTTGTAATGTACAATTCTTGAAGTTTTCGAATTGTATTTCAGCAAGGCCTTACGTCTTGTCACCTTCTGAAATATTATAGTTGATTGGCATAAGCTTAAGAGCTGATGTTTTACCAACTGTTATACTTGCCATCTCTTCCATGTCAATGTCCATTTCCTTCATTCCACTCGGTAATTTCCAGTCAAAAAAATGCAGGAGATTTGCGAGTGCCAATTCTATCATAGCCATTCCCATATTCATTCCAGGGCAAATTCTTCGACCTGCACCAAATGGCAATAACTCAAAATGTTGCCCCTGGAAATCAATCGGATTATCAATAAACCTCTCAGGAAAGAATTCTTCAGGATTCTTCCAGATATCAGGATCTCGTCCTATTGCCCAAACGTTTACTGCAATCCTAGTTTTGGGGAAGACATCATAATCTCCAATCTTGAATTGGGACACAGTTTCCCTTGGAAGAAGAAGTGCAGCTGGAGGATGCAATCTAAGAGTTTCTTTAACTATCATTTTGAGGTATGGAAGCTGACTAACATCATTTTCTGTTAGCTTTTCTTTCTTCCCCACGCAACGTCTAATTTCACATTGTGCTTTCTTCATGACTATTGGTTTCCTGGCTAACTCTGTCATTGCCCAGATCATGGTAAGTGCACCAGTGTCTATTCCAGCTAGGAATATATCCTGAGAAAACAAATATATAGACAAACTTTAGCTCCAAGTAGCAAATATCAAAGGGCACTCTGTTTTAATAGTGGCGCTTCATATTGTTACTTATATTACTAAATCGACTACTGCTATCTGTGGAGTTTTGGTCAAAAATTAATGTACAAGGGTAACTTGATAAAGGCATTGTTTAAGTAGATAATAAAGAGAAGAATCAGTGATATATAAAAGATGCCGTGAAGAAAAGTTTGGTTATTTACCATGAGGATTGCCTTTATATGATCTTTAGTAAGTTGAATGGCACTATTTTCGGTTCGACCTCTCTCCATTCTCAGTAGCACATCGACTATGTCTTCTTGATTCTGCACGTTCCTTCTTGAATTGAGATGATCATCAATAACCTGCTGGAACAAAACATCCAGCTCATGAAAGCTACTTTCAAGCCTTCTATGAAAACCAGTAAGCCAGTCAATCACCCAACCCACAGATGGGAAAAAATCCGAGTCACAGAAGCTTCCCAACATAGCCTGGGCCTCATAAACCACTTTTTGTAACTTATCATTATCAAGTTCACTCCCCTGAAATTTCTTTACGAAAGCAATCCTAAAGGTTATGCTAGCAGCGAGTGAGAAGAACTCTTTGCTGAGATCAACCGGACTTGCTAAAGTAGCTGATACAGATATTGAATTGACTAGCAAATTAACCTCTTTTTCCCTAATAGATTGAAAGGATTGTACCCTCTTCACGCTGAAAAGCTCTGCAACACAGATTTTGCGTATCTCCCTCCAGTAATATCCGTAGGGTACAAAACCAATGTCTAGAAAATTGTAAGAAAGTCTTTTAGGGCCAGCTAAGGGCGGTCTAGTGCAACAGTCAAGATCATGCGTTTTCAATACCTCTCTTGCAGTTTCAGCTGAGGATACTATGATGGTTGGGGTAGCACCAAGTTGAAGAAGCATGATTGGACCGTGTTTCTTTGAAAGTTTCCATGTGGATCGATGTGGCAATGCCCCAAGTTGATGCAAGTTACCCAAAATGGGAAGCTTAGGAGGGCCAGGAGGAAGTTTACCCTTTTTTCTCTGTGACGTCTTTATAATTAGCAGCAACAAAGAGAGCAATAAGAGAAGGGGAAGCAACATTGTTGAGGGGAATAAGAATGAAATGCAACAGAATTTTCTTATTTCACTAATGACATAACTTCACAGTTGTAAATTATTTATTTGAAACAGCTACCTCTAATGCAATCAGTTCTTACTAGATTATTGACATGCACTAATTTTAGCTGACTTTCTTCAATTCCTTAGCCCTTCAGCAATTACTTAAACGTCGCTGTAGACAAGTTTCAAAACCTCACGCTTAATTCTGTGTGGACAAATTGGACATGGATATTGTTTTTACTTGAGTGTTTCAAAGCTCAGACCCTTCTATTGGAACTCAGCCACAAATTTTTTGTGTTGGGCCTGTTGACAAGAAAAAAATCATAGTGTCAAGAGTCACATGATAAAGCGCTAACGTCAGATTCAAATGCCAGTATAACCTCACTTACCAAAAAACAAAAAAGCCACAACGTTTCTGTGGTCATTGTCGCTAGGGTGCAAACCATGCCATCTATATCATGTACAAGGGTTGGAAAAAAAAAAACATTAGCCAGTGAGAACATTCAGCCGTTAGAAAATGATGCAATTGGAAGTACCGTAGAAAGATGGTCGTGTGATCAAGCAGTGACCTTCGCTTTCATCTCCATCAAGTGGAGGGTTGGACAATATTGTAGCAAAATCAACATGTTCTTTTTCAGTCAATCACGCTCTGGAGAAAATGGCAGCAGAGCTTAATTCTCATATGGAGGTAATTTTGATTAGCTGTTAACTTTTACGGGTAAAAAGGAGCAATGGAAGGACAACTTTCCCACGTAATCTAATGTCACGAATAATATCTGAATTATAGTGAATTATAATGAAACATTTACCGTGTTATCTATTATTTTTTATCCACACAAGTGAGGGAAAAGGATGGCGGGAATCATGCTTTACACGCCTTCGTTAAACTACTTGGCGACTAAATCAATTAGCTAAAGGAAAATTTTAAAAAATTTTAACTAAATATTTAAATTATAAATTTATTAATTAATGTGAGACTCACTTTTAATATGTTTAATTGTAAATAATTATATTTGACTAATTAATTGCAAATAATTATATTTGACAAATAATTTTTTAAATATCATATTAATTAAAAAATTCATAATCTAAATATACATTAAAATTTTTTAAATTTAATATCAAATTAAATATTTTATTATAATTTAAGAAGTATTCATAACATTATCCTTAATTTATATCATAAATTACAGAAGGGCCGCAGTACAGTACCAGCAAACAAGTTAATATTATATTTTTCTCTCTAATTTTCTTTTTTTTTCAATTTAATCTATTTTAAAATATTAAAAAAAAATTTGACAAAATGATGGTATATACCAAAATATGTCCATGCAATAACACTAGCAACACTTAAAAGCATACAAATTTATAAAGTAAATTATAAGCCATGTAATTAAAGCAAAACGTAAAATATCAAACACACTGATTAATATAAAAAACTATATATTTTACAGGAAAATAGAGTAGTTACGATACAAGGAGACAGCAAGATTCTCCTTCTTACACATCGGAAGCACACTAAAACTGGATTTGAAAACACATTTTTTATGGTTTTTAACACAATTTACAGACACTCAAATATATTATACAAGGACTATATATGGAGGTAAGCAAGGAAATTTTGAAGAAGAACTATGCTTAGAATAAAGAATGTTGTAGGCTATATCAATTGTATGTTTTCAACTCTGCCTTGCTGTGGAAATGAGGCCTCCGGGGAGAGGTTTGATTTTTTGTAGATGAGTTCTTTTCTAATAAGGTTTCTGTGTTTGAATTCTTTTTAAAATGGCATACTCCACGCCAAAAATTCATATCTTTCTTCTGATTCTCCAAGTGGTCCCATTGTAGAGTCTCCTGCTTCGTGTCTTCTTATTTCTTATTTCTGTTGTTTTTTGATGAGCTGATAGATGCTTACCTTCATACGAGACTCTGAATGCAATAATTAATTTCTAGTTTATTTTAACAATCTTCTTCTCATCTATTAATGTGCATGGATCTGGCAGATAAAGTAGCCTTACAACTTCACTCACATAACTCTTTTCATCATTTCGATAGGTTGAGACTGATTTAATCAATCCAAGAGAATCATCAATCATTTCATTATGTTAGGGCATATAATGGTCAAAAGGTATAATGGTCTTTTCTCTCTTTCAATTTTCAGCAAACAATCAAAAGTATTTTGGATATTTGTGTCGACCTAACATGTCAAGTCGATTTGACATCTCCAATACCATCTCAACTCGACCCTATCTTAATTATTCTCTTTTTATCTCTCTCAGCTTATTTATAAATATGAAGATTCAGGCACTATGAAACCAAGTTCATCCCATTCATATCTTTCTCTCTTTCCTATTTTCTCATTTCTTTTTTGACTTGATCCTTATTGACTTGTGCATCAGAGTGCAAACGTAAGAAATACCCCTTGCCTTTGCTTCTAACTGTCCTTCTCTTTTACATTTACAAGAATACCTTCAGGTTGGAGCTTGGCATAAGCATTTGGAGTAACAGGTAAGGGACTAGCATTTTTGTATTAGTCGAGCACAAAACAATGCCATCAAGAAAAAGAATCCAAGAGGAAGAAGAGATAGCAATCCCAACTGTAACAGAACTAACCAAAGCCAACATTTTGTTCGTCCAACTCAACCACAAGTAGGGCCAACCATCAAGCAATCTCAAACCCTAATTGAGCAAATACAAGCCTTCAAACAAATGTTGCAAACTATAACCCCACCACAAGTCTTCAAAGTGCCAGACTTAGTCACACCAGACCAAGAAGTTGTTGTCCGGCAACCAAGCTATAAAGAGGCAGAAGCCTCCTCAGCCTCCAAAGAAGAAGAACACACCAATCCAACTCATCACCGTCCCAAAGGGTGTAAATAATACATTAATACTCGTAAGCTACTCGGGTTCGATTCGAATAAAATTTGAATTCGATTCGATTATTATCGAGTCGAACTCGAACTCGAGTAGCTCAACTCATCGATCGAGCCAAGTTTGAATATTCTTATATTCAGCTCGAGTAGCTCACGTGCCTAATTGAGCTTTTATATTTAAATTTTTATTATTATTTTATTAATAAAATATCTCAAATTTGAGCTCAAACTCGAGCACAAATAATCGAGCTCTTGTCGAGTATAAGAATTGAGCTTATTTTTACATATTTTTTAGCTTAATCAAGCGAGTTCGAGTAGCTCGAATTCGATCACGAATTGTGCTCGAACTAAAAAAAAGAAATTCAATCGAGTTCGAGCTGAGTATCGAGCCGTGAGTTGGGAGTCGAGCTTGAGCTCAAGCTTCTCACTGTATCGACTCGACTCAGCTCGATTACACCCCCAACCACCCTTATTACAATTCTACATATGCCATAACCCAAAAGTCCAAACAAACAGACCATGAACTTTAATTGAACAGAGATTTAAAAGCTCGGATGCAAGCCATTGAGAAAGAACTGAAAATGAAACCAGCAGTATTTGAGGACAAGTTCAAGTTTCTCAAGACATCACCTTTTACTAAAGAGATTGACAGAGCCATGCCTCCAAAGGGGTTTAAAATGTCAACCTTAGAAACATATAACGGTACTTTTGACCCCCTTGATCATTTAAAACTTTATAAAACTAACATGATGATATAAGGGGCAAATGAGGCTTTAAAGCGCAAAGGTCTAGCCATTATGTTGAAAAGTGCAACTTGGTTCTAGTATAACAATCTAGAGTCGAGGTCAATCACTACTTTAAAAAAGTTTAGCCACTCATTTCTGTCCCAATTTGAGAGTAGTCAAAAAACTAAGAAAACAACCCTAAGCCCGATGCCAATTCATCAAAGGTGAAATGAAACTTTAAAAAGTTATATTACACATTTTAATGAGAAAGCTCTACAGGTTAAAGACCTAGAATAGACAGTTGTTGTTACCACAATAACTAGTGGACTCAATGATCAAACGTACCACTTAAAGTTGACACTGTCATTAAACCATGCAAAATTGTAACCGACGTCCTGCTAATAGTAGAGAAGTATATCAACGATAAAGCTACAATGAAAATAAATTGAGGTGAGAAAGGCTCATCCTTTCTCCTTAGTCGTAAAAAAGATAAAGAATTCTACAATCTTCCCCTAAGAAGGAAACAACATAGGGCCAGAAGCCCCAATAGGAAAAGAAGTTATATAGCACTGAATATCTCATGAGAAAGGATTTTGATACAAATTGAAAGAAATCTTGATCTCAAATGGCCTAAGCCACTGAGATAGAACACAAGGCGAGATCTAACAAAAAAATATATGTTTTTCACCAAGAGATTGACCATAACATAGAAGACTATGTCAACATGAAAAATGAAATTGAAGCACTAATAAAGTGAGGTTAGCTAAAAAGATTTATTGGATAGCGAAGACAAAACCAATTTAGAAGAGACTACAAAAATGATCATAGGATAGAGAAGACAAGATCGGTTTAGAAGAAACTATAGAAATGATCATAGAGTGTCTACCCAGGGCAAATAAAGGATATTAGATCAAGGAAGAAAGAATGCCTAAGGAAAAGAGTTGAATTAGGTAGAAGGTTAGGTTGACATTAGTAGGCCAATCATCGGGGTGATTAATGTGATCATAAAAGATAGCTCCACCTCGAAGAAAAAGAAGTTTAATCCGGGTATGGTAATGGTAATAGGCATATCGACTAAGAAAAAAAAGACTAGAGCAATGAGCTGATCTCATTCAGCTTGAAAGATTTGAAGGGGATCCAACACCCACATGATTATGCCATGATGATTACAACCTTAGTATACAACTACATAATCAAAAAAATCCTATTTGATAATGAAAGTTTAATTGATGTTATGTACTATGGTTGTTTTAAGAAAATGAGGATTGGTGAAGATCAGTTAAAGCCAATCACCACAATGTTAGTGAGGTTTAAAAATGAATAGGTGCTAATTAGAGGAACCATCAAGCTCTCGATCTCTCTAGAGACATAACTAAAGACGGTTACCTCAGTTGTTGAGTTCATGGTAGTAGATGTCCCACCTACCTACAACATAATATTAGGTAGACCTAGCCAATCTGTTATATGGCTCATAGGTTTAGCTTCTCACTTGAAAGTAAAATTTCTAACACCTACAAAGGTTGAAGAAGCTTGGAGAGACCGGTCCACGATACGAAAATGTTATGTCACAATGATGAAGGGCAGAATTGGGAAACAGACAGGCAATTTAGCCAATACTGAGGTGGAAGATAAAGAAAAACTAACACAGAGAACTAAGAAAGAGTAAGAAACTGACAATTAGAGCATAGAACAAAATGATCTTGACTTAATGAAACAAAAAGATATAACCTATTAAAGATCAAACTTGGATGCAAATCGACCCGAGCTAACTAAAGACCTCATGACAATTTCATTTTGCAACAACATTCTTAAAAAATACATGCAGATCAGAGCCAAGCTCTAACATAAGAGCTAATTGATTCAATTTACAAAAGATAATGTCAACCTATTTGCTTAGACACCATCTGAAATGCTTGGGATTGATATCAAGGTAATGATCCATAGGCTACATACTAATCCCAAGATCAAACTAATTCAGTAAAAGAAAAAAATTTTTACCCTTGAAAGATAACAAACCATCAAATAAAAGATTAACAAATTATTACAAGCTAACTTTATTAGAGAAGTCTACTACCTTAAATGGATAGCCAATATGGTCATGCTTAAAAAGCATAATGAAAAATGAAGAACGTGCATAGATTTTACCAA